AACCACTACATCAAAGCAGGTATATATTACATTTTTAGTAAAATACATAATCCTTTGAGAATTTGTTGCTTCATGGAAACTCAAAACTATAGGAAAAAAATTACTAACAGAAGTATAAGTTTAGCCTTTGGAGTGAACGGACGTGTTTTGTGTGTGCTCCGTACCTGCAGTGTATATCTTTGTGCGAGGGTGCTTTGTCCGCAGCCGGCCGGCATTATGGTTGCCAGCAAGGACTGTTGTTCTGTGTGTAAGAGACCTTTCCATGGAAAGCAGAAATGTATCAGATGCAGTGGGCCCTGTGGTTCTAGACTTCATCTTTCGTGCCTCAACATGAGTGATACCGAGTACTCGTTGTTTATGGTTGACGGCCAGTCCACATACAATTGTGTGTCGTGTGTTTTACTTAGTCGTGCTTCTAGCCCTAAGAATACAAGAAGAAGAAGCTTGAGATCTGCTTCAACTTCGGAGCTTCCTGTGAAGGATATATCTCCGGATGGGGCGAGTATGCCTTTGGACCCCGAGTCTCTCGGCGTTCAGATCGAGATGGTGCGGCGTAATGGTGCTAGCACTCATAAGCTTGTTGAGAATCTTGTACAGATGGTTCTCAAACTCTCCGAAGATGTTCAACTACTTCGGAAAGATAATGGTTATCTGAAGAGTCAGTTGGCCAAGCTTGCTTCCTGTGCACCTGCTCCTGCAGTACCACCTTCCATTCAAAAGCCTAGTTCCTTGGTTTACGATGATGCGGCACACAAGGCCGCCGACCCAGCTCTTTGTTCCGCTTCAACCAGCGCCGACGCCGGATCCAAATCCTATAAGGACATCCTTTCGGCTGGTTTAAAACCGAAGGTCTCCGGTGCTGAGTCTGAAGATTTTATAACAGTCAGCTATAAAAAGAAGCCCACTTCCGTGATGCCATCGGTCAACACTGTCAACACAGTTCGACAACGTAGGCAGCCGCTGATAGGGGTTAGGAATTCTGCCGCTCTACCCATTGTGTGTAAAAGGGAAAGGTCTAAGGCCCTTTTTGTGTCTCGATTTAGTCCTGGGGTCTCGGCTGCAGATGTAGAAAAGTCGTTAAAGGAGCAATTAAGCCTCAAACGGTTGGTCTGCACTAGACTTAAAACTAAATTTGATGCTTACGCGTCGTTTCATATCTCTGTCAATGAGGTGGATTTTCCCCTCATTAATAACACTGGTGTATGGCCAAATGGGTGCCTGATTGCTCCCTTTTACGGTAAACTGACCCCTGATCAAGTGTACTCCTCCAGTACACCTCAGTCTTCAGCGGTATTATCGCCTGCAGGGAATATACCTATTGCGCCGGAGGAAGGCTCTATTCCCCTGTGATCATGGCTCATGTCGTCTGTGATTTTGATATATTCTTTCAAAATGTTAGAGGTCTGCGGACTAAATCCTGCGATTTTCTGGACAATGTCTATGCTAACCAGTCCAAAGTGTATTGCATCACTGAAACCTGGCTAAACGACACCTTTTTAAGTTCCAATTTATTTCCCAACACGTACAACGTATTTCGTGCTGACAGGGACTATTTAACTTCTAACAAGAAACGTGGTGGCGGCGTACTTACTGCTGTCTCCAAGTCATTATATGGGGTCAAACGTAGGTTCGATTTGGAGGTCACGGAAGAATGCGTTTGGATTGAAATTCCTGTTAAGGATAAATTTAATTTACTTATAGGAAATCATTATTTTCCACCTGATTGTGATGTAAAAGTGGTTGAAAAATATTTCAAATTCTTAGAATTAAATTTAAATTCTAATCTCTGCCG